ATCGTAGCTTTGATCATCTCGAAGTCTGCATGTTTGACCATGACCATAACCATCATCTTCAAAGCAATAGATATGGAGGGTACTGACTGCCGCTTTGAAAAAAATTACTGTTTATTCTCTGTATCAAACGAGAAATCATAGATTCTTTGTATATACAAAAACCTTCCCGTAACAGTAAGGTTGAGGCACACGATAACTACAATACGAGCACCGAGCACCATATGGGTGATGTCTATGACAGCACATGTTGGAGAATTGAGGCAGGATCTACACAGATTAGAGAGATACAATAAAAAGATCTTATCTCTAACGATTTGAATATTTGCACACAAAACCGAGATCTGAGTGTAGTGTGTAAGAATTGAGCATTACTTTGTGACAATCGATAAATAGACCGTACGTGTGTGAGTAAAGTGAAGTACAGCGAATAATAGCTAGGAGATTACTGTGACTAGTTTGTACCTAACGTTGTACGAACGCTTTCCGCCCATTCTTCAGCGCAGGCACTGCAATCAGAGGCAGACATGCCGACTACAGCCGGTTCTACGTGGTTGCATCTGGCCCAGACGCGAACCCTCGAGAAGCTGTTATTGCTGGCGGTGCGAAGAGCTGCGCCAGGAATCTGTAATTAAACAGATGCTTGAATAACGAGTCAGCGTCACGCAAAAAAAAATTATGGAACCTCTACGCTGGTGACAGCCTTTGTCGGTGCCACCCACGTGCGCAGAATATCGAGCTTTTCTTCCGGACTGAGTCTATCCTGAACTCCGGGTTCATCCCAAACCTAAAAAATTGAAAATTAATAATAACATGCATCCTCTGGTTGTTCTATGGTCTTCTACAATGTTCAATCTCAAACAAAAAGATTGATTCATGCAGTGGCAGCTGTTCACGCACCATAGGCCAGAGTCGTCGTAATTGACTATTGCGTCTCTGTGTGTTTGTCATGGGTAGATACTTGAAAGCTGCTGTGAGAATTTGCCGGGTTTGACAATCCTCATGATTCGCAACGATCTCCCATGCAAGTCCAGCAACTGTACGGAGAGCAGAATCGAGCTGAAAAAAAAAGATCTTTGTTGAAAAAAAAGTCAGAAAGCAAGCCAAAATGTATCCCAAACATGACAACCCACCTTATCAGTGATTGCTTGCGCTCTCCCTATTTGCTGAATTGCCGCAAGAACGTTTCCTGACATGAGGTGGACCAGAGCGACAGGAACAGAACAATCTACGTTCGACCATCTCAATTTTGTTGGACCATCAGAGTGATGCGTTAAGAAGTGCCGCGAAACTGCCTTAACACTTGGCGGTGATTGTGATCGCATGAAAGGGGACGTAACGAAACACTTGCCTGGATGGTGGTCAGATCACATCCTCTCAAGTTCGACATCAACTGCTTTTGATCGAATGATGAAGCTATACTGTCTGAATGACAACTTCATGATAAATCTGCAATATGTCTGTACCTAGCACTTACCTTTGTCATGGAAGCTCAGTTCGACTTGAGGAATCAAAGTTGGCTTTGTGATGTAGGAGGAATCATCAGGCAGCGACACGCATCGCTTCGCGGACCCGTCCTGGAAAGAAAAGGACTAAGGTAAAAAGCAGACGCAAAACACAAGTATAACGTGAAGCTGGAAAAGTCTTAACAAAAATATTGGTGAAACAAACTTTCGGTGGCTGATAGAAGTATTTTCTGGTGAGCGAAGTAGTTTTGTCGGAAGGGACACCACACTGAGCAAAATCATTGCGACCCCAACCAAATGTACGGCCATCTTTGGAAACAGCTATGGTATGGTTTCCTCCTAAACACATGAGATCACTTCGATGCCATTTTATAGATCTTTTCGGATAGCATCAATCAACTACTGAATACGCGCATTTTAGTGCCCTGAGTTATGGTTTTGCATTTCCAGGCGACACATGATTTCACTTAATTTCACCTAATAGCCAAAGTCATTCTGTGGTTGCACGACCAAGTAAATTCTGGTGAAGGAGAGAGGTGGGGCGGGCAAAACCCCGCCAAGAGCACCCGGATATTTGGGTCAGTATACCCTAGAGACATGCCTACACCATGCAAAAACAGCTTAAGTGAGCATGAACTTCAGTTAGTACAAGAACTGACAAGATGTAAAAACATAAAATTGCCTCAAGTCAATTTCGAAGATAATACCCATGAACTAACTCAATACATATACCACGGCTTGACTAATTTAAAAAGGTCCCTCCTCAAAGTTAATGAGACCGGGTAGCGATCAAAGTTCCTTTACTTTGCCCATGCGATGTTACCAACATGACTATAAATCACTCCTTTTCGTGGATTTGTTCACCGCTTCTAGCTGATCTCTGCCTTGCAGAATGCAAAAACTCCACAAAGAAACAGGGACAATGCGCTCTCACAAGGGCAGAAAAAAAGTCAGACGACTGTAAGCAACCTCGCTCACAATCAGGTACTTTTTTTGCTACTGTGTGCAACTATTGATTATCCAAGGTGAAGTCGGTTATGTAACTCAGACATCGTTTTTCTTAAATATTTTTATGTTATTCTTCGCTGCTTCGTAACCATGTTTGAGTTGGCTAATTAATTACACTTCTTGTATTTTTTACCCAAAAGCTTGGAGTTCCCGCCAACATCTTCGAACTGTGCAGTCTCACAGGGAGAAAAAGAAATTACTCGACACAGCAACTGCGAAACGAGATGCCCCTTGTAATAAAAATGTTTGAAAAATGACTATAGAGCGCAGTTTTTTTTTCTGTGCGCTATGGTCATTCCCTCAGACACAAATATTTTTGACAACGCAAAACGACGATCGAATTTACTGAAGCATACATACCACAAGCGACTAGTTCCCATTTCACATCTCGAGGGTCAAACAGAATGTGAGGTTCGCCTCGCTCAGTCTTGTTTCCATGTCCGAGCTGATAATCAAGGGCCTAAAAATGCACTGTTAGCGTTGAAAGGAATTTTACAGTGAGCATTTGAAACAAGAAGCATTCAGACGTAAAATAGCAGAAAAGGTACAAAAGAGAAGACAGTTCACCTTTCCCCATGTGAAAAGCGATCCCTGGTCTGTCACTACTGCTGAATGAGACAGTCCAGTAGCTACATCAACAACAGGGCCATCAAGTATGTGTAGCACTTCTCGAATACCCAGATCATCACGAGGCGCATCCATAGGCAACAGAATCTTTGGTTTCTCCATGTTGGGTAATGGCTGAAGCAACAGATGAACCCCTTCAAAAGCAATTTTCCGGTAGATTAGATCAGACCATTTCCTCTCCTTCTTCATCAGCTATCCGTTTTAACTGTGCCATTCGCAACCGCCTCACCACAAACATTTTCATTTTCACTTCCTGTGGATTTCGGCCCCACTCAAAAATGCGACCGTCATCGGTGATGGCAATCGAGTGATAGAAGCTGGTAGCAATTTTTACAAACTGGAATGAGAATGACTACGGAATTCGCTCGAAATGCTTTTTCAAAAACTTACTTTCAGATCGCTATCGATCGGGAGAGGGCGAAACTCGTACTGCTTCCTTATATCCTCATCCGTTCCTAGTTGCCCATAACTGCCACCGCCAGCAACGAGTACTCTCCCAGATTCAGTTAGAAGAACAGTGTGCACCCGACCACAACTCACCGATTTGATTGGCTCTCTGAACAGCAACATACAATACTGACAATGAGGTGATTTAAGAGATGGCATACCCTAGAGGTACTAGCGTAGGAGTTTTGCGATCTTCAATGCTGCGGCCTCCCATGCCGAGCTGCCCAAATACTCCCCATCCAAACATCCATAGCTGTCCCTTCGTGTTGAGAACAGCTGAGTGGAACTGACCAGCAGATAGTTCACGGATTGAGCCCCATTCTGCTTCCACAAGCTGAAAATATATAGGTCATTTATAAAATCGTGACGACGGCTTTGACTGCGGCCTTGCGCGCACTATAGCATAAAATGCTCATACAAAAAATCACCTCAATGCTCAGCTCATATACTCCCAGTGTCTAAATACTATTATAGGTAAGCTTGCCCTATACCGTAGTTAGCATCAACGCCACAAAAATGGTGGCCAATGTCGAAAGAGGAAAACACTTAGTAAGAATAATGAGAAACGCCTACAAGGTCAATCTATTGCAAGCAGAGTAATAGGTCAAACAATTTTTTTTTCATTTTTTTCTGCCCCTTATAACCTCGCAGGGTGTGAATAAATGCTTGGTTTTCTGAAAAGAATCTCGCAACAACAATTTCGCATTTTCGAGCATTAGTTGAACAAAAACGCGGCAGAAGCTGAAAGAAATCACACATGTTTTGCTGGAGGGACTGTCAAAAGATTGCTATGTCTAGTTTTTTGACCTAGTGCCAAATCTGTCATAATAAAAATCGTAAATTATCTATGATGTATTCAATGCAGCTTTCAATCCTCTCTTCAACAAAAACATTAGCAAGTTGAAGCTTTCGAATGCTTTCCAAAATTATGATGACTTTAGCGGAATAACGCTACCAAGCTCAGAGTCAACTTTTCTTTTATATTTCTGTTTCAGACCATGAGGAAAAATTAAGGTACTTTTCCGTTATCCGGACCCACTTTTTCCAAAGGCTCCCACAAAATACGATATTTACTTCGAGAGCAATTTTTCATAGATTTCAAGTGGACCGCCTCCGTGCAACGTGCCAGGAAAAAATGACAAGTTTTGGTCCAATTTGACGTGTTTTTTTT